CAGGAGGTGGGCAAAGAATCCTCAGCTCTAATTGAGAATCTTCTGAAGAGCTCCTTTGCTTGAGCCCTTTTTCTCCAATCCTGGTTCTCTTGCTACGTTCTTCCCTATAGAAGCCGCTGAGGCCTTCAGATCTGTGGTACTGACATGGACGAGAGGCAGAGGAGCACTGGACAAGGTTTAACATTTATTCACTTCTTCGCTCACACAGATCGGAAGTGATCGCGGGGGCAAAGGTTCGCCTCCAGATACATTTACGCATGTGTGACTGGTTTCTCATTCATGTTTACGAACTCCAGCAACGCAAGTAAACAACCTGCGACAACTGTGTTCTCCTCCGGAAAAGAGGAGAGCAGGACTCCTGGCTGAAGTGACTGACACCCTTGGACCTGCTGTGGAAATGCTGGAGAAGCCAGCCATTGTGTGTGGATCCACACACAACGGTCTCCAGCGCTACAATGAGGCTGACTGGTGGCCAGTTTGATGACCTGGTAGCTTGGGTCAGAGCCAGGACCTGCCTCCAGTGAGTTTCATTCTGACTGACTTCGCGTCACACAAATGTTTTGCTCAAGTTCAAATATTTTAGCTGCGACATTTGCTGTGAACACACAATCAGCAACAGTCCATCAACACATACCTGGCTCATTGAGACCTGAGGACATAACTAACTACATGGAACTTTGTAAAGGTATTAACATTGCACTGCACACTTCAGAGATCTTATCAACAATAAAAACAGCCGGAAAACCACACGCTTTAAATGGAGAGCGTTCCAATCATAATAAACAATGATATTTCCTTTGAGGAGAGTGGCAGGTAGAAAAACAGAGATAGAAAGTGGGAGAGTGAATTAACTAGGGAGATGGATAATTAAATATTGTCTTGTTTATAAGAGTGAGTATGAGAGAGAATGTATCTCTAAAACACAGTCATGCTTTTGTGTGTGCAATCTTTACCGAATGTGTTTTTCTCTCTCTGTCTCTCACAGCGTGTGTGTGTGTGTGTATATGCGTGAGTGTGAGTGTGCATGTGTGTGATTGGTTTACTAAATGACTCTGCCTTAAACTCTGCCATGCATAAGGAATTAAGCTGGCTGTGCCCTTTAGAATTAAAGGTGGTGGGCTGTTTAAGAAGCAGACAGTGTGATATATCACTGTACGGTGTGTGGTTAAATAACTGTCTGTCCATAAAAATGCTGTTTAAAGCAAACCTCTGACAGAAGAAAGTTCAATAACTCTTGCATATACACACAAAAACACATGCATGTACATGTATATGCTGGAGAATATAACTTTATACTTTAAGATCTGCATCTTAAACTTATCCGACGTTTGAACTCCTTACAGAGGGCACTGGGTATTTAAATCACTCATTGGAAAATGTATCAAACTAACTATGGAACTCATAACTAAAGTAGCAATGCAATGAGTACATCATGAAATACAGCCCTGCAGTTGTTTGTGTGGTGATTTGAAGACATTTCCTGAAGGTGTTTCTGAGATATCTTCTTCAAAGGAATGAGCTGGACTAATGGCCAAACAACCCTTAAACATAAAGGACACATAGTGGGCGAGAATTTCCCTGTTGCACCAAACATGCAGCCCAGCATCATCTCTTCATTTGCTCTTATCTTCATCATTGGTACTAAATGTTGCCCTTGAGCTGAGTCAGGTTTAAACAGACTCAAGCTTTATTTTCAGCAGGTGCTTCCACTGACTTCCTCTTGTTTTGATTCTTTTCACTGCACACGTACCACAGAGACACCTGCAGATATGAGAGATCACTGTCTGCATTTATGAGCCGTCTCACTGCATGGGCACGCAAAGGCAATAGAAAATAGCTGATACAGATGCAGCTCCACTGTGTGTCACTGACAGTCGGTGACCAGAGATTAACGACAGGTAGCACTACTGAGAAAAAAAACAAAAACACTGTATTTATTCAGACATATTGAACATTAAAAGTTTTTTCACTACAAGTAAACAAAACTGGCAGAGCATTAAGATTTTAAAAAGGTGGTCCACCACTTTAAATTACTGTTTACTGACAAAAAGCTTTAGGCTGAAGCCAAACTTAAAGTTTTATATATATTTATATACATTACACGCCTCATCCAACCTTACACAAACTGTTCACAGTCCAAATAATAACTACAGACTCACATTACTTTACTATTACCATCTCTAACACAACTGCATAAAGTCAATATCACAAAAATGTATTTTTAAAATGTTCATTTATCAACTGTCTTATTTTTCTAAAGCTCTATTTTTCTAAAGCTCTATTTTTAAGCGGACACTCTAAACAACTCTTCAGGTAATGTACATTCTTTCACATGCCTTTAACTCATCCTCAAC